TTGTATATGCCTGTTGTTTACGATATTCTCAGATGGTGGCAGCACCGGCGGAGAATGCGGCAAGCCTATAAGCATTCAATTAACAACATAAACTTTAGAAGGTGTTAAATTTAACATATTCTGTCTCATACGCATATACAAAATTCAATTATTTTTAGTATTAAACCATACACCTCTACAATATTAAAAACTATAGTTATATATCTATCGTTGGTGGCTTTATTTTATTGCTACTTCAGTTTTTAGTACCATATACGAGATGGTACCATTTCATAGCCATCGCTGACGCCCTTTTTTTTCGATTACATTGTATGTACATTACATTGTATGACAGGGTGGCTCGAATTCGACGCTCATCATTGGGATTTCGGAAACCGTAAGAGATATACAGGATCGGCTAAATGAAGGCAAAGTTGCACAATTTGATGCTCAATAAAATGCCGTATTGCATTTTGAAAAATTCCGAATACTTCCGAATATATTCGAAAAAAAAACCGGAATTTTCAATTTTGTTTTCTATTGTTTCCTGGCTTTATTTGTTAAGATAACTTAAAATGAAAAACACATTTTAATGGCCACTTTTTCTGCTCTATAACTCTGTGTGATTAAATATTGACTCTGACGTTGACTTATTTTTTTTAAATACAGACCTGATTTTTTTTAATTTAATTAAATCCATTCATTTTAATAAAAAAAATATTTCCTCTTAAAACACTATATATAGTCACTTTGATATTTGCCGACGTTTCGTACAGAAAATTCTATCACCAGAATATTTTATGCAAAAAAAATAAAAATGCAATACGGCATTTTATTAAGCATCAAATTGCGCAAATTTGCCTCCATTTAACCGATCCTGTGTCTCTTACGGTTTCCGAAATCCCAATGATGAGCGTCGAATTCGAGCCACCCTGTACAGGGTGGGTCAAATTCGACGCTTTTAAATGGAAACACTCTTTTCTATAGGAGATAGACAAAAACTAATATCGGTGTCTGGTGTTTAATTTTTGTCAAAAACATGATGGTGAAAACCGCATATCGATATCTGTTACCGTATCGGAGTTACGGGGTGTTTTTCAAAAATATGCATTTTTAACAAATCGCTGCAACTTTTTTGCTATGGAAAATTTTGTATTTTTATGAAAACATTTCCAAAGCACCTTTTACGTAGGTTTCCAAAGCACCTTTTTACAATGGTTTAAGTATAATTTTTTTAACATTAATAATTTAAGAATTATCAACAGAAAAATTGATTTTTTATATGGAACACCCTGTATATTTTAAATTTATTGAAAATAATTTAAAATTACCTTTCCTAAAATATAACACACTTGATATTTTGCTCGATTTCTCTTCGAGATATAGAGTATATACAAATTCGCTCGCTTTAAATAAGTAGGCTTTCAACGGCACCTGCTGTAATGCAAAAAAAAATTCTAGCTGTGAGCATCAATTAAAACGAAAATAATATTTGCTATGAGAGATGCAGAATTTTATAACAATTTAAAATATATTTAACCAACATCAACACATTTAAACTATATCTAATAACAATAAAAATAAATAGCAAACCAAGACATGAGATTTTGCTACAGATGTTCGACATATCGACCGTCTTTTGTTATTGACAGACGGGGCAGTTTTTGAACATTTCTCGCGGAATTCATTAACTCAGTGTGGGTGAAAGATACCTTTTCATAACTGCTAAGTATTTCTAATTCTTGTCTAGATTATACGGAAGAATAAGGAACGTTTATTCTTCGCAAATATATTCATAGGATTAGATCCATGGGCACTAAGTCAGGCGGCCTCGACGGCCAACGGCTGGGATCTTGGTTAGCTGTTCAATTATTCTTGAAATTGGCTGCAAAAACTTGCTGATAACTTCAGCGGTCAGAGGCGGAGCGTCGTCTTGTTAGAAAAATATGTTTTTGAGTTCCATTAAGGGCATATCATCAATAAGGGGTCCAATGCCTACTAGTTAAAAGTGAGGAACTTTTAAAAATTCTGTATTTCGAAGGGTATTAAAACAAAATATCAAGTGTGCTATATTTTTGGAAAGGTAATTTTAAATTATTTTCAGTTAATTAAAAATACAGAGGGTGTCCCAAATAAAAAATCAATTTTTCTGTTGATAACTCTTAAATTATTAATTTTAAAAAAAATATACTTAAACCATTAAATTTTACGTAAAAAGGTGCTTTGGAAATGTTTTCATAGAAATACAAAATTTTCCATACCAAAAAAGTTACAGCGATTTGTTTAAAATGCACATTTTTGAAAAACACCCCGTAACTTCGAAACGGTAACAGATATTGATGTGCGGTTTTCACCATCATGTTTTTCATGAAAATTGAGCTCCATACACCGATATTAGTTTTCGTCTATCTCTCTCTATAGAAAAGGGTGTTTCCATTTAAAAGCGTCAAATTTGACCCACCCTGTACGTCCATTTCTCTATTATTTTAAATGAAATAAATAAACTGCTCAATATAAAAATATACAATTCAAGAACTGTCTAATGACAGAGACTGTATTTGCTTTAAAAGAAGCGTTTTCTTTATAAAAAACCTAAACCACCACAAAAAGGAGATAACGTTAACTTTTCGAGCACGTCCTCAATAATTCTATCATTCATTCTATTTTTTTCTTTGAAAAAGATGAAAACATATTTGGGCTGCTCCCCAGTGAATTCAGAGGAAGCTAGATCCGTATATCGGACGATCTAATCTAATTGTATATCGGTAAATTTCAATCCAATAATGCTTTATTTGATTTCGCAGGACAGTCATCCCGAAAACTATATTTGGAGGTGCTATTTTTATTTATGAGGATCAACTTATAATTTTAAAAGAAATACAGGGTGGTCGGAATTGTATTCCGGAAACTTCGGCAGCATTTTCTGCAGATAAAAATAAGTAAAAAAGTTCGTATAAATTTATGTCTTAAAATGCTTAGTTTCGGAGATACAGGGTGTAGAAGTTTCATTTTTATTTCGATTTTTTCCAAATAATTTTAACCTCTACTAGAAGGGTACTTACATCAAAATCAAATTTCTGATGTCAAAAAACTTCCAGACACCAATTTTCATCCAAATATTGACTTGACAAAATGAAACTTCTACATCCTGTATCTCCGAAACTATGCATTTTATGACATACATTTATACGAACTTTTTTACTTATTTTTATGTGCAGAATATGCTTCCGAAGTTTCCGGAATACAGTTTGAACCACCCTGTATATATAAACCACATCTCAGTAAAATACAATTTATGTTAGAACTCTACAGCGGCGGCGCGGCGGCCCCGTAATATGTCCATGGTTGGCAACAATGAATTTAAAAATCGCGCCCTCGATTACGTAACTAAAAGTTTAATTGATATCAAATATATAAAAACAAATTCAGCAAATTATTGAGTGTACCTACTCTATTTCATATTTTAACATTATTTTTCTTCGTCTTATACCTAGTTATTTTTATTATAAAGATATTTCATGAAGAATTACACAGATACATAATAGAGAATTATCCCTCTTTTATAACTAAAAGACCTGAAAATAATACGCTTATTTTAAAAAAGACTTATAATGTTTTGATGTATTAAGTTTCGAGATATCTACAGAGAGCCTTATTATTAGTGCATATGACATTGATATTCTCATTGTATTAAATTATAAATATGCATAATAATGCAAGCCATTAAAAAAATTATGCCTCATTAAATTTTCAAGTTGTTTACGTAACAATATTATATTGAAAAGATGTCTTTTAAATCCACAATGAGTGTTCTTTAGATCAATTTTATAAAAATGTAGATAATTGGAAAAATAAATGCACAAGCAAATTTTACTTGACGTCTAAACAGCACGGTTTGAAGCATACGTCCAATTAAATCTATAGGCTTGGTGCATTCTCCGCCGGTGCTGCCATCATCGGAGAATACTGTAAACAGCGGACTAAATAAATACATGGGTTTAAATAGCGAATACCTGAAAAATTTGATATAATTATTCTAAAAAAGTGTTAGAAAGTATAAATTGTTAAAATTCTATAAATAAAATTAGAAAAGTAAATATTTTGATATCTTCAGAAGGTCTGTCTAATTTCTTATTCAAGCTAATAAAACTTTTTAGATGAGTTCAATTACGGTAGCGAGCATAGTTTTACGTAGTCAAGGTTTTGCTAGTGGGGTTATAATTACATTTGGCTATGACGAAATTTTTTAAAGGTACATAATTATAATAATTTTAGATGTTTATAAAAAGTTTAATCTCTAGTTGATCGAAAAAAAGTATTAATATTGCAAATTACTTTATTATATCCTCTCATAGTATATTCCTATTTAATTTTTTGATAATGTAATGGACACATTGTTTCCTGCATTGTTTACTCGCTTGTTTCGTCGAACTGCTTGAATCCATTTTTGCTTTTGATCAAGTCGGTGTGAGGAACTGTGAAGCTATAATGTTGTTCCAGGAGGGTAGAATATCCGACAATATACAACCATGTAATTACGCCCTCCTTTAGGCATTTTTTCGACAATTTTATTAATATTTGAAATTGTCACAACGCAACGTCTAGTTCGGGTTCTTTTTCACTTAATTTTTAGTACTCGAAACAGCGTTACATCACACAATTGCTGTCCTCCTTTCACGCAGTTGAGCAGCTCTGAACTGCTCAAGAACGCGATACTCTCACTCCATTCAATTGAGTCATAAAGTTCCAGAACTGTTCCGCGCCATATGGCGGCACGCGGCTATCGCGCACAGCTCCTTTCAGAACCGTTCTCGAGTAGCCCCAGGGCGTAAAGCGAAAAAAAAGAAACTCGAAGTTTGCGAATGGAGGACAGCAAATGAGTGTTTTATAGTTTCAATAACTACACCAATAACAACTAAAATACTTAAATATTATGCGATCAAGTCAAAGATATTCTTTACACAGAAAATTAAAGAATAACTGAATAAATAGTAAAATTGATTCCTTATTATTGGTTTCAGATGCGTATAGGTCTTCACACTGGTTCCGTTTTGGCAGGAGTGGTGGGTGTCAAAATGCCACGCTATTGCATGTTTGGACACAATGTCGCAATCGCAAACAAATTCGAATCTGGCAGCGAGCCATTGAGGATAAATGTTAGCCCTACGACATACCAGTAAGTCAAAAAATATTTAATTCTTGTAGTATGTATGTTAGGGTGTTTCAAAATAAAATAAAAATATTTTTTGACTTATGGTGTTGAAAAGTTGAAAGTACATTTAAAAACAAAAAATTTTGCGCATAGTAGAACCCTTAATATAAATATTAAGGTTTGTCTCAATTTATTTGTTGTTTTCCCATTTAAATAACACGGATTTTTTTTTTATTTTAGAATTTTAATAATTTCGGAATGGTTTGTTTCCGCAACACCCTTGCGAGCAGATTTATGTATCATATTTTTCCATTTCCAAACATATTTATCCATAAGTATCATATTTTTTTGTAGTTTTATTGGAAAATATTTGAAATTTTCGATTGCTGTTATTTTTGATCGCCGATATCTTTGAGATGGTTGATCTGAGGAACTTTGACCTTTAGACGTTTTTTTAGAGCGTGAAATTTCCTATAAATCTTGTCGCGAGGATGTTACGGAAACAAACCATTCCGAAATTATTAAAATTCAAAAATAAAAAAAAAACCTTATTTAAATGGAAAAACAACAAATAAATTTAGGCAACCCTTAATATTATTATGAAGGGTTCTACTAGGCGCCAACATTTTTGTTTTTAAATATACTTTCAACTTTTCAACACCATAAGAATTTTATTTTTATTTTGAAATACCCTAATGTATATGGATTATTATTAGTAGTAGTAGTATATTTTGATCCCAGAAAAACGCCAGATTTCTTTCCGCGAAAAAAATATCATAAACGAAAATTCCAAATTTTGCAAATTTGGAATTTTTTAAAAGTCGGCGACAAAAGGGCAACAACATATGGCAACATAGGTAGAACCATTCTGAGTAGCCAACAAATTTACAAAGAAAAAGCCCCAAAAAAGATCCAGAGGTTCTCAAAATTTAACCGAAAAATCATTTTTGTTGAAATTTTCAAAGTTAAATATCTCAGTTATTTGAAAAACGGTAAAGAGAAAATATAGTGGTATCCAGTTCATTGTTTTGTTGGGTAATCTGTTGTCATTCATACGTTGTAGGTACATGGCCGTACCAGACAAGTTGCCTTCTTTCGATGTCAGTCATAATCGTGTCCCGAATTCCCATTTGTTCCTAGATATTTCCATTTCTCACTCTCTCGGTTCTGGATACTCTGACCAAAATGTTTCCTTTGAAAAAAAACATACCTACATAAAAGCGTTAACTGCCTGCAGGCATTGATCAAAAATCTTCAAAGCAACAAACAGATCCATAGATCCTTTATTGAGTTACTAACATTGGATACATTCTATTCGAAAATATTTACATGACTTGCTGGAAAATATGTGTGTAAATATTTCCAGAATGTTAACAAAGCGAATTTTTAAATTGGCGTTCTAATGACTTTTACAAAACGATGCATTCGTAGTGTCTGTTTGTTTATGTTTTATATTACATGACGAAGAATTTTCTAGATATTTTCAATTTTAATGATTTTGCATGAGTAGATGTTTATTAATTGATAAAATATAGGGGGATGGTGATACACCTTTCGTTAGTTTAATAAAAATTAAAAGATGCAGAGTAAAATATTCAACGGTAATCAAAATATTCTAAGATAAGACACGTTTAAAACATATTTTAATTATTACAGAATTAAAACTAGTTATAAACGTATAATTCTGTAACCAAAATTAGCTAGATGAAATCAAATGCTCAAAATTCTTCTTTTTCTGTTCACTGCATAAAATGATTCTTTTTTTTTAAAGATCTTTTTAAATTAAGAGGTATATCTGGAGTTCTACTTCGAAAATCAGCGACAATAATTTCTCTCCTGTTATCGACAATAATTGGTCGAGTTTTTTAAACACTGTCTTTAACATATCTCAATAAAAAAGTCCAAGCTATACAGGGTTGTTCACCACATACGACACGGAGTATTGTAGCTAAACGATTAGATTTTTACGAATTGTAAGTTTTGGGTTCGTTGAAGGATTATTAGAGCTACAATTTAAAAATATTTTTACAAGATACAGAGTGTCCCAACTAAGTAAAAAATATTATAGTTGTATTTTTTTAAATGGAACTCCCTGTATATTATTCTATTTTTAGATTCTACCATTAAAATAAAGATAAATTTGATTAAGGTTCATCATACTTAAACCTTACCGTTTTTGAAATATTTTCAATTTTATGAAATTGCAGTAAAAATTTTAAGGCTTTATTTCTCCAAGGGTATCAAAGTTTTTAATACTAAATATTTACTGAAGATTATTTATTGACCAGATATTGTGTTGCAATCATAAAAAATTTACTACCTTATACAGAGTGTCCAAAAATGTATATTAAATAATTACTAGCTTTAAACGGCAATAGCGTGTTTAATTTAAATGGAACACCCTATATATTTTGCGTGAATCAGATGCACAATGTAATTGTCTATCAAATTGTATTATACAATTTTTACGTATCTCTTCAAGTTTTCGTAGAAAATGCATTTTCTTATAATTTAGACCTCATTTATCACTATACCCATGGAATATTGACATTTTAGATTATTTTTAAAGATGTAACAAATTTTCCAAGAGTACAGATAGTAATATTGTCGATATAGCTCGCTTATTTCATAAAAAAATAAAAAAACTGTTTAAATATTTTTTGTGAAAAAGGACCAATTAATATGATCCCAGTATTCAGACTACATTAATTGACTGTTTATGTTGATTAATAATAATTGCTCCAAATACTAAAAAACTGAATTTTGTGTGTGTATTAGACAGTGTGGTAAAAAGTAACGCCTTATAAATTTTATTTCATTTTTTGACGAATGCTGATTTATAAAAACAGAGACGTTTATTTTCATAATTTATTATTATATTGATTTCTGAGCCAAATCCACATTTATGCATTTTCTACGAAAAGTTGCAGAGATAGGTAAAAAATGGTATAATAAAATTTGATAGACAATTAAATTGTGCATATGATTCACGTAAAATATACAGGGTGTTTCATTTAACTTAAAGTAGTACTAGTAGTAAACTAGTAATTATTTAATATAAATTTTTGGACTCTCTCTATAAGGTAGTAAAAATTTTATTATTGCAACACAATATCTGATCAATAAATAATCTTCAGTAAATATTTAGTATTAAAAACTTTGATACCCTTGGAGAAATGAAGCATTAAAATTTTTACTGCAATTTCTTAAAATTGAAAATATTTCAAAAACGGTAAGGTTTAAGTATGATAAACCTTAATCAAATTTACCTTTATTTCAATCGTAGAATCCAAAAATTGAATAATATACAGGCTGTTCTATTTAAAAAAATACAACTATGATATTTTTTACTTATTTGGGACACTCTGTATCTTGTAAAAATATTTTTAAATTGTAGCTCTAATAGTCCTTCAACGAACCCAAAACTTACAATTTGTAAAAATCTAATCGTTTAGCTACAATACTCCGTGTCGTATGTGGTGAACAACCCTGTATAAATCAGAAGCATTATATCACACATTAATTCAAGCATTCTATTAATTGTTGAATCACCATTTTATAGAATCACATCAATTCTCTCTGATGTAAAATAAGTTTCCATTTTCGGCAAATTTCTGACAATATTTTTTTTATTTTAACTGATACAAAATTACAACTAGTTGTTAAAGGTGAACTAATTTGACAGCTATGTTGAAGTAACATCAGGTATCTGACAGCCACCTAGATTCTATCAAATGGTAAATATCTACTGACACTAAATCATAAAAATTAAAATATCTATGAAAATCTTTATTTAAGGGGTAGGTAACCTTTATATACATACATACTGCCATTACTCGCTGACGAGTATTTGACACGCATCAGAAGATGGTCTCGCAAGGCGTTTTCTTTCATGAGCTTTTCTGTGACTGAAAAGCCCTATACGTGATGTTATCTGTCTACCGCACTCCAGACATTCAAAAATCTCATTGCTTTGTTGCCTCTTTACATTTTTGTTGTCGCTGTTAACTGACTTTACAATTCTTCTCCATTCCGTTCTATTGTGAGCTGCCTCTACCCACTCATTCTGCTTGTTAATTCCCTTTAAGTTTTCGTGGAAAATATCCTTGAACCTTTTGAGTTGTCCACCCGGCCTCCTCTTATCGTCTACAAGCTCACCAACAAGGTAACCTTTATAGTATTTTGAAGACACAGGAATTCTCCGTTGAATATCCGAATAATATACTGGGTGTTCCGTTTAAAATAAATGATGAAAAAAATTGAAGTAACTTACTTTTAAAGGTGACCAATATTTAATATTAATTTTGTCGTACCCTATATATCTTTTTGGGTCAAGTTTTAGTTTGATTTAAAGAAAAACGGTTATTTTAATTACATATTAAGCTATACCAGTTAAATTCCAGTTTAAGTAGTTTTTATTGAAATTTAAAATTTGTTTTTCATTTTTAGAAAACGTTAAATATGTCAAAAAACTTACATTTTAATCATATAATTCTCTAATGAAACTCACCATTATTTTTCAGCTAGAATCCGTTATAAATCAATAAATATATATAGGGTTTTCCATTTCAAAAAATACAACTTTGACGTGTAACTTTTTTGGTGACATCCTGTAAAACTCTCTATATTTTTTAAATACTTCTTTAAATGAACCTACATATGCTCACCAAATTTCATTTTAATACAAACTGTCATTCTCCTTAGAGCACATTTTAATAACTATTTCCATTCCACTCCATTTAAACGAGTTCAAACTGCCACTGATTAAATAAACATCGGCTCGTTTTCAGACGCCTAATGACGACACCGGGGTTCGCTTTCGAGGCGCGCGACCGTTCCTGCCTGCCCAGTGGCTTCCCCTCGCACATTCCCGGCACCAGCCACTTTCTGACCAACTACACCCACCCGGACGTGGACGTGGAAGCGCCACTGGCCAAGCACATCCAGGAGGGCGCCGGCGATCTCGGCATCACCATCGAAGACGTTGAAGAGGACGAAGACGATGGCGGTGGACTGAGTCAATAGTGGTGCTCGCCACGCTGCGGCATCTTCGGACACTCGGCTATTATGACGCTGATTTCTTTTAATCTGCTATTTGTGTTCTTCATATCTGTTACTTTGCTGGTAATGTTTCTGACGGATGAGGAAGTGAAGCCGTCTACTGAACCGACGATGAAAACAGCTTGAATGCGCAAAATTCGTATTTTATGTAAAACAAAAAAGTTGTGATATTTTTTTGAAATAAATAAAGGTGGTAAATAAATGGAGGAGCAGGTGTATTTCTAATATCGGGGCTGTCGGCGGAACACACACGGCAAAATGCTATGATTAGCTTGACAAAAATCGAAATTACAAATATTTTTTTTTGGTATGTTCATCCACTCGTTCCAACTGTCGTTCTAATCAAAAATTTGTGAACCTCATTTTAAAATTAGGACATTGGAACAACACACACTGACATGGAAAAAATTATAACATTTAAGAAAGGGAGATTTTTACAATTTGTCAGCATTCATGGGACACAGGGCACAGAATAAATTTTAATAACGCCAAAATTATAATGAAAGAAGCGATAGCCTCTAAAAGAAAAATAAAAGAGGCTTTTTTAATACAATCTAATAAAAATAAATGTATTGCTTATGCATCTGTAGATGTTGTAACGTATGGCTATCGCTTCTTTGATTTTAAAGAACATAACTTAAATAAACATAACATACGTAAAAGTTGAAAATCATCATACAGAAAGTTTGGGGCTTTTTGGTTTTACCTTATTAAGTAATTGTTATCAGGTAGTAATTGTTAATTTTGAACTTTAACTTGATATAATGTCATTATAACAGAACGACGGATTTCAACGGTTTTTTGTAGACGTATCTGTTTTAAAAAAAACTAAAGTGTTCTCGAATAGTTGAATTTAAATATTTTAAATAGATTTTTTCTTTTTTCTTTGTATTTTTTTGCTTCCGACGACGGAAAGAGATGAACTTTCCGAATAATTTCGTCAATATTAATAGTATAATTCTTTTGAATCAACTAGTGCTTAAAGTTTTTATGGACGTGTTCTAACATTGTAATTATGTACCTTTAAAAATGTCCTTACAGTCCAAATAGCCCTAGTTATGTCTCAACTAGCAAAACCGGTGCATACAACTATAATCCGTAGTAGTTGAAAGAATCGGCGTGTTATTACTAATCTAAAAAGTTTTATTAGCTTGAGTAATAATTTATCATACACGTTAACCCTTCTGAACATATCAAAAGATTCACATTTTTATTTTTTTATAGAAATCTCACAAATTAGACTTACTAATACTTTTCAGATAATGTAAGAATTTTTCGTGTATTTGCTATTTAAACCCGTGAATTAATTTAGTCGGCTCTTTACGGTATTCTCCGATGGTGACAGGACCAGCAGAGAATGCACCAAGCTTATAAAAGCCTCTATAGAGTTCTGAAATCAAATTAATTTGTATCTTTGGTACAACACAAACTTAGTCCGGAACTTGACGCTTGAGATGAAGCTTTCTATATACAGTATATTTATGCGGTTATTATGTTTTGAAACTTAACATCAAAGCTTGTGGCGACGACGGTTCATTAGAGACTGAAAACGATACTGCACTATGGTCTTCCCTATATTTACACACCGTCAAATATGGATGTTGTTTTGCATAATTTCGTGTGATACGATTATCACTTTGTATCATTTTTAAACTACATATAATCTTTTTTTTTATTATTTTAAAGGGGGTACGAATCGTAATCTGGAAATTTCGGCAAATATTAGAATACAATAATTAGTTTGGAAATGTTTATGTGCCAAAGGTTAAACAAAAACACCATTTAAATAATGTGTTGAGATAATGATTTGAGATGATATTAAAAAAATACGTAAAAAACATTTATGGCGGGTTGGTTTCTTTAAAAAAGACTTCTGTAAAAATTAATTATTAGTTTTAAAAAATAAATTTTCCAAATTTATTGTTTCAGACAAATAACTATTTTGTTAATGCCCGATGTGTCTTAAAAGTGGCTCAATCCTACAACGTTTTTATTTTTTCAAACTTTATAAAACGAGATTTAGTATGTTAGTATATGACATAAATTAGGATAGATTGACGTATTCCTACATCGCGCTGTGCATTTCCGTAAATTTTGACGTAAAAAATGACTTGATAAAAATCGCTACTGACCGTTTTCAAGACATTTGGAATGGAAATAGTCAATACTTGTCATTATTGGCAAAAAATAAATATGTTGACTAGATAGTTATTTAACTGAAATAATATAAAAATATGGAGGAACATTTTATTTTTTTAAGCTAATCATGAATTTTTCTAGAAAAAAATACAATAAAATAGTTTCTGTTGAATCTTTGGTACAAAAACATCTCAAATTTGTTATTTCACTCATAACTATCCAGTCGACATGTACCGGGTGTCCCACTAAGAATAGCTCTCGGCTGTATCTCGGAAAGTATTAGCCGTAGGGGCAGCGAAAAAAAATATTTTTAACTAAAGAGGCTATGAGAAATTGCTGGAAATTATATTCAAGTTTGTAGAACGACCGCTAGGGGGCGCAACTGCAACAAAAAATAAGAAAATAGAGTTTTTACACAATTTTGCCTAGATAAGGTGTACTATAAGTAATAGCTTCATAATCTTCAGTAAATTTTGAATATTTTTTGTTTGAGCCATTTTCCTCTATCTACCAAAATAAAGTGGTGGGGGAAGGTTAGATCTGTTTTTATTTAAATATTAATAACTCTGGACTGGATGATCGGAATCCAACAAGCGGCTCGTTTAAAAGAGCGTTTCTTACTCTATATTATACCATATAAACAATAATAATAAGCTTTTGAACATAGACGCTAGGGGGCGTTGTCTTACAATTTAACAAACATTGCGCGTTTTTTCAAAAAAATTAAATGTAATAGTATATGTAATTTTAGCTGATCGGAAAGAGTAGTAAAAGCTTAAAAAGTCAGCGAAAACCGCATCTCGATATTTTCTTTCAAACCGAAGATATTAGCAAAATTATAATAAATACCAAAAAATAAGCCCTTAATTACCTCGTTTTTATAAAACGGCTACAGTAGCCCTCGTGATTATGACCATTCTAATAAAAAAAACAAGATAAAAACGATTAGTTTATCCTAAAGTTGACAATATACCAGAATACCATAATACCAGATGTATAAATATCTAATAATTAAGATATTAATAACAGTGAACAAGAAACGATGATTCAGTGAAGTCATGGTAGGCTTAGGAAAAAAGTTGCTTTTGGCGTAATAGTATAAACGTCAAATTTTTATTAGATCAACATTTTGATAGCCTTAGCAGCGTTTTTATTGCTTTTATTATTTGAAGTAGTTGAAGTTCTTGGCATTTTGAAAAAGCAATCAAAATATAAAAAAACGCTGCTAAGACTATCAAAATGTTGATCTAATAACAATGTGACGGTTATACTATTACGTCAAAAGCAACTTTTTTCCAAAGCCTACCATGACTTCACTGAATCATCGTTTCTTTTTCACTGTTATTAATATCTTAATTATTAGATATTAATACCTCTGGTATTATGGTATTCTGGTATATTGTCAATTTTAGGATAAACTAATCGTTTTTATCTTGTTTTTTTTTATTAGAATGGTCATAATCACGAGGGCTACTGTAGCCGTTTTATAAAAACGAGGTAATTAAGGGCTTATTTTTTGGTATTTATTATAATTTTGCTAATATCTTCGGTTTGAAAGAAAATATCGAGATGCGGTTTTCGCTGACTTTTTAAGCTTTTACTACTCTTTACGATCAGCTAAAATTACATATACTATTGCATTTAATTTTCTTAAAAAAACGCGCAATGTTTGTTAAATTGTAAGACAACGCCCCCTAGCGTCTATGTTCAAAAGCTTATTATTATTGTTTATATGGTATGATATAGAGTAAGATACGCTGTTTCAAACCAGCCCTCGCTTGTTGGATTCCGACCATCCAGTCCAGAGTTATTAATATTTAAATAAAAACAGATCTAACCTTCCCCCACCACTTTATTTTGGTAGATAGGGGAAAATGGCTCTAACAAAAAATATTCAATATTTACTGAAGATTAAGAAGCTATTATTTATAGTACACCTTATCTAGGCAAAATTGTGTAAAAACTCCATTTTCTTATTTTTTGTTGCAGTTGCGCCCCCTGGCGGTCGTTCTACAAACTTGAAAATAATTTCCAGCAATTTCTCATAGCCTCTTTAGTTATAAATATTTTTTTCTGCAGCCCCTACGGCTAATACTTTTCGAGATACAGCCGAGAACTATTCTTAGTGGGACACCCTGTACAATAAGTGTCAATTACGACATGTATTGACTACTTCGATTCCAAATATCTTGAAAACGGTTCCTTGTACCGATTTTTATCAAGAGACATTTTTTACGTAAAAAATTACGGAAATGTATATTTTTCACTCGTTAGTTTTATACAGGTACGGACGAAAAGTTATTACTCTTCAAATAAAGTTTAAAAATATGTAGGCGGTGCCCCATACAAAATTAAATTTCTTATATAAAAAAGACCAGATACAAATTTTCGTCCAAATACCGAGTTTAGTTTAAGTTAGTAATTTATTAGAGATTAAGAGAGTTAAGTTAGTAAATTATTACGAAATAAAAAGGAAATTTCTACACCCTGTATCTCCGAAGCGCAGCCTTTTAGAAAATATATTTATACGAACTTTTTTACTTATTTTTTTGTGCACAATATGCTGTCGAAGTTTCCGGTATACAATTCGGACCTCCCTGTATATTATTTTTAATAGAATTATGCTCTACGAAGGTATATCAGGTGAACACAGACAGAAGTTTGTAATTTTTAATTAAAACTGACACCGATGCGTATGTATATCAAGCGAGATCGCATATTGTGAATGCTAATCTACTTTCAGCATTTGATCGTTTCAAAACGTATTAAATTCGTTTTTAATAGAATCCTTTGATTGACAGAATTGTTTTGCCTTTGATAGCCATAAAATTTAAATTTCCATACGTTGTGTTCAGAAAGCCGTATTTCCATATATTGCAATTAATAGAGATATTTGCATATATTCCGTTTATTAAAAAACATTGTTTTTTTCTAAGAAAATTTACAGCATACAATAAAAAAAGAAGGCATCAGAATGGGCTTGGAAATAAAGATCGTCATTTCCAAGCCATCTTGACGCCGTTTATTTACAATCATACGGTACAATCTACGTT